GATATTATTCTCTATTTTGATTTGGTTGAATACAATCAAATGTGTTTTTTGGCCTCCATGGAAATAAAGTTGTTGCCTAGAGTTTGCTTTTCCTCAAGGCAATAGTTGCTGGAACTTTAGTTAGTTTTTCTTCTGCAAATCTAACAGATTTTTCTTGAATCCAGCCCAGCCATGCCTTCTAAGGCTTGTGTTCAATCAACTGTACCTCCGAACATGGAAATGGGAGGTTAGAACTCAGTAAACATGGAACAAGGAACGTGATGAGCTGCTTGGGTGGATATCCCTTTTCTATTGGATGCGTTCTTCAATTTGCAGCAGCTTGGTTGAGGTTTGTTGATCATTATTAGTTATATAAGGTTCTTTTCTGCAATATTTTATTCTCTCTCTTTTTTAAATATTTTATTCTATACCGAAACTAATCTCAGCCTAATCCTCTTCAAGGAAGAAAGCTTCGAGTTTGTATGTTTTTGTTGTTTTGTCTGAAAGAGAGCCATTATCTACGAATTGGGTGGCTTTCCTTTCGATTGTTACTGCAACTATGGAACATTACGAGATTGTGAAGGATATTGGCTCTGGGAATTTTGGGGTGGCGAAGCTAGTGAAAGATAAGTGTACAGAAAAGCTCTTTGCTGTTAAGTTCATTGAGAAAGGCCTTAAGGTTCAGTCTAATTCCCTTTTTCATTCCACTTTTATTATCATCACTTGTCTCTTTTGGGTATCAAAATCATTACTTTGTTTTTTTCTTTTGAATTTTCTGTTCTGTCTGGATATGGGATTGTTGATTGAGGGGTTGTTGGGTATTGCAGATTGATGAGCATGTGCAAAGGGAAATCCTGAACCATAGATCGCTGAAGAATGCAAATATTGTTAGATTCAAGGAGGTTGGTACCTCTAGTTGGCTATAATTTTGTTTTTCTTGCTTGTTATATTGCCAATGCTCATGCTTTAACTTATTCCCATAGACAAGTATAGGTCTCCAGTGGCTGTTTGAGTCATAGCTGCCTTTCATATTTTTGGCCATAGCATAGCTTGAGCTTCCTTTCTTTATCCATAGGTTTTTGGGTGTTTCTGTATAAGTGATCAACTATTTTGGCCTCGAAACAAGACAGCTGTTTTAGAGTCAAGACTAGCTTAGTTTGAGCAGTTGTGTGCTTTGAAGGGATTGATTCGTGCAAATGGTTAGGAAATTTCAAAGTTGTGCTTTTTTCTTGTTTGTGCAGAGTTAATGTATTTGGTTTTGGTCTTTTGGAAGTTCTACTTCCATTTTAATTTTCAGAACAATCATTCTATAGCTCAGAAAAATGGTATTAATAATAAGTGTAGGAGAAAATTATAAAATAAAAGTGAATTACCAATTGTAAAAAAAAAAAAAAGGGTCTATACCAACGGAATTATACATCTGTAAAGGTCAAGGTCTATACCCACGACAAATTTTTTTTTAATTTTTGAGGGTCTATACCAACGGAATTATCCATTTGTACAGGTCAGGTCTATACCCATGGCAAAATCTCTTAAAATTTCTCAGGGTCTATACCAACGGACAAATCTTCCATTGGAATAGATCCCAAGGTCTATACATACGGATTTGTCGTCGATATAGACCCTATACTGACGGGGTTTGCACCAACTGAAAGGACTTCCGTTGGAATAGACCCGAGGGTCTATACTGACAGAAAAAGGGTGTATACAGACGGAAAAGTTCCATCAGTATAGGTGCATCTAGTTGTAGTGCAATGTTTGTAGTGGTCTCTTGAAAAGAAATCAAGGAGGATATCTTGCATATTTATCGTCATGAAAAGTGTAATAGGATGAAATCATTGGAATATA